GCAGAAAAATGAAAAGGTTAGGAGTACAGCAATGAATCGGCCCAGATTTCATTAATTTTGGGATAATGGAAGTCGGCCGATACTTGCATGAGAAGCTGATCTTATCCACCGATTTTATCTACGTCTGCAAAGGTAGAGATGGTGTTGACCCGCCCACCTGGTCATTTCTGTAACAACAGTCACTGCACTGTTATCAACTTGCAGCAATATTTATCGACTTTTCAGGCATAAAAATTGGTGTTGGCCACAATCTGAATCATCTTTTTCTTTTTCTCGCTCTCTTTGCTTTTATTTATTTCTAAGTGCGGTTTTGAAAAATCTAAGCATAAATAAGTTTTACAGTAATTCTTAGTTTACTTCCTAAAGACAATCCCACGGCTCCACACAAGTTGATTTGTTTCCCCAAATGAGTTTCTGACAAAAAATTGCTGGTTCAGATAACCAAAGAACCATCTTTATATTTATTTTTTTCACTTCAAGCTTCTTAAAAATCGGTAATCAGCCAGAAAACCGCAACCAGAGCATCAACAGGAAGAAAATGTTGGCGGGGGGGGATATAAATAAACGTCTGAACTGTATCTAAAATAATTAATTGCATTTCAAGGTTAACCGATTGATCTTTTTTTGAGACGATTTGCTTTCATTTGTGTTTCAGGACCAGGAATTGATGAAGATAGTTGGCATCAAATATGAGGTGGGTCTGCCCACCCTCTGCTGCCTGAAGCTGGCCTTTCTGGACCCCGACACAGGGAAGCTGACAGGAGGCTCCTTCTCCATGAAGTAAGAGTTTGACTTAAGCAAATGCATAGAAATGCTGGGAATTTTCAGCTTTTTAAGTTTAATTGATAGTGTGTTTGTGTTTAAGTGGGTAATATCTCTGGCTGTTTTTGTTAGATTGGTCTTGCAGCATCTTTTCTCAGATTTTAACCGACACCTCGTCTGCAGGTACCACGACATGCCTGATGTTATTGACTTCCTGGTGTTGCGGCAGCAGTTCGACAACGCCAGGAGGAGACAGTGGACTATAGGTCAGATAAATTCACATGTCACTGTGCATATAAGCACTCCGTGCAGGGTGCAGGATGTGGCTCATGAAGTGTGACTTTTTGCGGTAGAAACCTCTAAATGCTTGTGTGTCGCGTGCTCAGGCGACAGGTTTCGGTCAGTGATCGACGACGCCTGGTGGTTCGGGACCATTGAGAGTCAGGAGCCCTACCAGCTCCAGTATCCCGACAGCTTGTTCCAGTGCTACAACGTCTGGTAAAACTCCTGTTCACTTCACAGTTGGGTTGCAGTTAAATGGGCATAGCCATAAAAGTGCATAAGCAGGTGCATTGCATATTGTTAAATTATTATAACCCAAAAAAAGGGCACACATTTTTGTGCAGCAACCACTTTGTAACAGTCTTTTACTGGAGAACTGTCACATAAACTCCCAAAAAAAGTTTGTGGTTTTGTTGTAGAAAAAAGCCAAGGGATCTTTATCTGACCATCAGGTTTAAAAACATTGTACGCACGTAGTGGAGCCAGAGAACAAAATGAAATATGTTTCTAAGAAATAGAGAGAACTGAATGTGAAAAGGAAAAAGTGGGAGGTCCGAAAGGATCTGCTTTTAGATTCAGAGGTGAGGATTGACAGTCGGTGGAACTTATATGTTAGTAGCATATCTTAAAAAAAGACTCAGATAGCAGTACGGTGGAACTAAAAGGGTTAAAAAGGTAACTTTTTTTGTTGTTTAAACACAAGATGGCGTATTTCACTTATGCACAAAACAGTGATCTAAAAACACATCAGCAAATCCACTTCTGACTGATAAAAGAAAAAAACCCTATACCTAAATCTGATTCGATATGCATTTATTACATTTAGAGGAGTTACTTTTCCCCACAGTTTTTTGTCCTAATTACAGAAATCACCATTTAAAAACTGCTCTTTTTACTCTTGACCAGATGTTGATATTTGAAGACCTGAGGTATATAAGTGTGAAAGTAAAGCTCAAAAGGACGAAATCTCTAAGAAGAGAACGCTTTCCCAATGCGCCGTCGTCACTTATTTGAAACAAAAAAACAAAACAAAAGCAATAATACAAATGAAATCAACAGGAATAGAAAGTGAGGGTACAGAGAACTGATCCCTGATGTTTTCCATGCAGCTGGGATAACGGTGACACAGAGAAGATGAGCCCGTGGGACATGGAGCCCATCCCCGATGACGGTAAGCGTCTCCTACTTTTAATACTTTTTTCTCAGACTTTGTGGCACCTACTAGTGCCTTTCATTCACAGCTGTCAAACACAATAGCAAAGGGACAAGACATGCAGCAAAGATCGTAAAGTTGGGATGTCAACTCTAGACAACCCTTGCATTTATCATTTTGAAAACTTTCCCTTCTGTTTCGCCCCTTCCTCGCACTGCAGCCACGTTTCCCGACGAGCTGGGCACGAGTGTCCCTCTGACAGAAGACGAGCAGAAAGATCTGCTGTACGTCCCGCAGGACGGTGAATGGGGCTGCCGCACGCGGGCCGAGGAGTGCGAACGCATCATCAAAGCCATCGACCAACTCTGCACGCTCGGTATGATGTCACCAGTTCCCTTTAAGAGAAAGTAAAATTGAGCCACACAGTCATTTCCAGCAGCTTTGAGTCACCATGCTGAGCTCATCAACACAGGAATAGACTGGTTGAATATTAAGATAAAGCACCAAAGAGCTGGCTTTTATTACAGTTAACTGTTGTGATGTTATACCAAACATAAACTGTTAAGGAAATCTAGTCCGAGTGCTCCCCCTGGTGGAAGCTAGCACATTCTGTCGCAGCTGTCTCTTATTTATTCCACTGGTTTTCAGCCTCACATGTTTGACCAGAGCTATCTCATCTGATAAATGTAAATTAGGGAAATAGTTTTGAAAAAAAACAACAACAAAAAACATGACTTTTATATTTTGGTTAAAGCAATACGTAATCTGACTAAACATACACCTTTACTTCCTGCATTTTGTTACTAATCAAAGGTTGTTGTTTCCGTCACTCTTCCTATTTTCAGAGCTTCTTGCAGCGTAAAACACACCAGCACTAACCGCTTTTCATTATTTCTCTGTCTACTGTCAAACATATCGGCCTCTCTCAGACGTGGCAGCACCGTTTGCCTTCCCGGTAGATCTACAGGCGTACCCCACGTACTGCACGGTCGTGGCCTACGTCACCGATCTCAGCACCATACGTGAAAGGCTGGTGAACCGCTTCTACAGGTAACTCACCCGAGGCTGTGCTGGAAGCAGTGTGTATGAATGAGAGCAAGGCTGTAATAAAAAAAAAAGCATATTGTTGTTATTATTCCAGGCGCCTTTCCTCTTTAATGTGGGAGGTCCGTTATATAGAACACAACGCCCAGACGTTCAACGAGCCGGGATCGTTCATCGTCACGACCGCCAAGTTCGTCTCTGACCTCATGCTGGCGTTCATTAAGTATGTTGAGCTGAAATGTGGAGTCATCATGTTTAATATGTATTTCATCTGTAAACTTGCATTTTCAATGAAATTCTTAATCCGTCCACTCATTAGTTGCTGATCTGCTTTCTTTGATCTGTAGGGACCAAAGTCTCACAGATCTCAAGCCTCTGTACAAAACCATGAAGAAGGCCACCTTCTCTGACTCTGAAGACGAGGTGTGTTTACCTACACTGTGCCATACTGTCGTACACTATACTGTAATGTACTATACATTCCTATGCTATGCTATACTGTAGTTTACTATGCTAGATCTATATTATACTGTGCCATACTATACATTTCTATACAATGTGTAGCAATGTATAGTATATTACAGCACTAGTACTATGCTACTAGTATAGTATGGCATTGCTATGCTATTCTATACTGTACTACAATATAACTATCTTATACTGTGCTATAATATACTATACATTGCTATACAATGTATATACATGCCATACTACACTGTATAATACTATGTCATACAGTATTGTATTACACTTTGCCATACCACACTGTAAATTACAGTACTGTATGTCATACAGTAACTATGTTACACAATACTACACATTGGAATGCTATACCATGCTATGCCACTATAGTATGATAAAGGATACTGTGGTATACATTGTCACACTATACTACTCTACGTCGTTAGTAATTGTTCTATATATTTAGTTTTGACTGTTGCTTCTCTTGTTTGCTTGAGTAAATTAGTCATTTCATTTAAAAAACAAATATACTTGAAATATAGCTGCAGTTGGCTGTGAGATCATTTATAATGGGCCCTTTGTCATTTTTTTTCTTGTGCAGGATGAGGAGGAGGATGATGAGGATAATAATGCTCCAGGAACATCAACCCGAAACCATAAGGTAACGTGACTAATTGCCATTATTGGGGCGTGCCATAGCAATGCATGGAAGGCAGCTATTGCTCTACACCTCAAAATAACTGCCACTTCCTTTCGCCGTTAAGAAGAACAGATAATAAATAAATAAGCAGATAAACGGTATTTCAAAAGAGCTTATATTTTATAAACAATAATTAATTTGGTGTGAATAGATGAGTGTTTTTTCTAGTAATGAACTGCCACGAAGTATAAATTTAATTTTTACTTTATTAAAATTTAATAACTGTAATTTTCTTGTGCCTAAGCAGATAGACAGTATTTCAAAAGAGCTTATGTTTTATAAACGCTAATTAATTTGATGTTAAGAGATGAGAGCTTTTTCTTCTTCTTTTTTTTCTCCTGGTAAACTGCCTCGAAGTGTAAATCAGATTTTTACTATTGTGTTGAATGTTGGTTCTATGATATATTCATTACCAATGACAAAAAAAACAAAAACATTTTCATTTCTCTGAAAATTTCACCAACTGCACAGTTCTTAGTATAAGACAAGTAATATTTCAAAAGAGCCGAAGAAATACAAACAGTATTTATTGTTAATCTGTTGCTAAGAGATGAGTGTGTTTTCTGGTAACCAAGTNCCACTAACACCTGATTTTTACTTTTTCAATATTACCAACTGTAAATTTCTTGTGTCTAAACAAACAAACGGTATTTCAAAATAGCTTATGTTTTATAAACAATAATTATCTTGGTGCGAAGAGATGAGCACTTTTTTCTGGTAACGAACTGCCACGAAGTATAAATCAGATTTTTAGTTTTGTGTTGAATGTCTGCTTTATAATATATTTATCACCCATGACAAAAATAAATAAATTTCACTTTTCTGAAAGACTCACCAACTGCACAATTCTTGTTAAGTAGTATAATATAAGTAGTATTTCAAAAGAGCAGAAGAAATCTTATGTGATTTTGAACAATAACTACATTTCTTGATATTCTGTTGCTAAGAGATGAGCGCGTTTTCTGGTAACCAAGTGTCACGAATTAAACATTTGACTTTTACTTTTGCAAAAGTAAAATGTATTAAATGGATTAATGGATTAATGTACATTAATACATTAATGTGGGCTACATTAGCAGTACCTCACATTAGCTGTAGGCTTTCCCCTAAATTAAGCTTTTTAGCTATCGTTTTATTTATTAGCCACATTTAGCACTCTGAATGGAGAAAACCAAAGACAAGATGCTAGTTATACCTCACATGCCACTGGCAGCATTTAGGCTTAATTAGCATTTTGGCTAAGTTTAGCTTCTACCCTCATTTTAACATACTGAATGGAGTAGGTCCATGTTACTCAACATGCTTGTGACTCTCCACATGCTATTGAGTACAATGTAGCTTACTTTAGCATTGATGCTAATTTTTAGAATCAAAAAGTTGGGTTCCAACCGGCAGGCACACTTTGGCAGGCCCCGTTTAAATTTCTTCCGAAATTTTCTAGTGTTGCCATTTATCGGTGTCAGCTGCTCACAAGTGAAAACAAAACACCGTAGTGGTCACTTTCATGCATTTCAGAAGATATATATTGGAAGAGAGAGCTTTCTGTAAGCCACTGCAGTGTGTGTCATTAACTTTGGATTTACTGTGTAGGGCCGTCAGCCCATGAAGCGCCAGCTACGGACCCGTCCTCGTTCTTACGATCCTCATGCTTGGAAAGGACGCTGCAAGGAGCTGCTGGACCTTATCTTTCAGTGTGAAGACTCTGAGCCCTTTAGAGAACCGGTGGACATACAGGAGTACCCGGTACAAATGATTCAAAACCCTATGTTACGGATACCATGTGCTGCTTCAGTTCTGTAACTGATATTAATCATCTTTGTTCTTTCTCTCTTCCTTTTCTACTCCTGTCTGCATCTGTAGGACTACCTGCAAATAGTTGACTCTCCGATGGACTTTGGCACAGTTCTAAAAAAGCTGACTGAAGGAAATTATCCATCTCCCATTGAGCTCTCCAAGGATGTCAGACTAATTTTCAGCAATTCCAAAGCGTACACACCCAGTAAAAAGTCCCGGGTCAGAATCATTCGCAAAAAGACACTTCCAAACCCTAACAGGTCTTTCTATAGTCAGCTCCTTCTTTTTTTATGATTGATTTTCAGTTGTGCCTTGTGTTTGCAGATATACAGCATGAGTCTTCGTCTTTCTGCGCTGTTTGAGGAGCATATCAGCCCCATCCTTTCTGATTACAAAGCAATCCACGGCATGACAGATAAATTGACCAGACGTGGCACAGACAGACAGACGCGACACGCCGCAGATAGACAGACAAGGCACACGACAAAGAGAAGGAGGAGCGAATCACCCACAAGTAGCAATGCATCCAGGTAAAAAAAAAAAAAAAGTAAAGCACTACTACTTGTTTTTAATTGTTACTAATCAAACCTGAAGCTAAAGACGATTCCTCGGTTTCCTTTCTGACTGCTTGTAGCCCAGAGAGGAAAAGACGCGTATCATCCAGGGTGACTGCCAAGAAGGAGCCGTCACCAGCTCCGTCCCGGCCGCCTTCCCTCAGACAGCATGTCCCTCTGAAACAGACTCCACAGCTGGTCAACGGTAAAGTGGATACCCCAGCTCCGGGACGGACGCGTAGTTCCGCACGCCACTTTGCACACTCCTCACCTCCTTCATCGAGTAATATCACTAACAGCACACCGAGCACTGGAGGTGAGATTAAATCAAATACTAATGACAGAGTAGTTTAGATCAAAGTCTGAACTTTTCTTAGACTGGCCTAGTCTATGTCTTCATATTCTTGGTGATGAAAGATAAAGGTGTAACATTTAAAACCCTAAGCTGTTTTATATGGTCACGAAATAACAGTGACCCATTTAGTAATTTGCCAAATTGCTGCATCTCTTGTCTATTGTCAGAATCTTCTCGCTCACTGCGGGCTCATAATTCTGTCCGAGCTTCAACGCCACCAGTTCCTGAAAAGCCCACGCCCCCTCCAGCAGCAGACAGTAGCAGTGGAAGCACTCGTCGGAAACTCAGGACCCCCGTGCGACACACACCCGGTTGGTGTTTCCAACATCAAACGAAATGACATAGCTTTGGTTTAAGAATGAACGATAAATCATATCTACATGTGTCTTCTCTTTTTGTCCATCTTTTTCCTTTTAAGGTTCTCCTTCCAGCCCCTCGACTCAAAGTACGGCCCATCTGAATGGACACAGCGGTCACATGACCTTAGGCATGGGAAGAAGGGGGCGACGGTCCAGAATGGACTCACCGGTGAGTCCTCCAGAAGTTCCGACTCCAGCCAGCCCCTCAAGACCCCGAGGCCGACCGCCTGGCAAGAAGAAAGGCAGAAAGAGCAAGCAGGAACAGGATGAGTTGAGACAGAGTGGGAGTCGCCGGAGCTCCACTCCGGATGACGAGCTGGACCATTCCACAGGGGACGAAGGCGGCATGTCGTCCGCCCCGGAAACGTCAGCACCATCAGACTCTGGTGCAGCAGTGACACCGAGGCGACGAGGCCGACCGCGGATAGTAAAAACGAAGGAATCGACTTCTCCTGCCGAGTCGCCTGAGCCCTCACCGCTGAGAAGGAGCAGCAGGAGAACCAATGAGGAGGCCACGCCTCATCCCCAGACTTCCTCCGAGCGATCCGGTCGGAAAGAGTCTCCAAAGGACGAGGCTAGAGAGGGGACGATAGGGTCGATGCGCACACGTAACCAAGGAAGGCGGTCTGCCTGGTACATGGAAGAGGACTCAGAGGAGGAACAGAGGCAGTTGCTGTTTGAGGACTCGTCGATCACCTTTGGAACGTCCTCAAAGGGTCGCGTCCGCAAACTGACAGAAAAGGCCAAAGCCAATCTCATAGGCTGGTAAAGAACATATGCACAAGCTCGAGTGCTCAGAGGGCCGAGAGATCCCGGCAGGATGTTTGGATCGGATGCTTTAGACCAAACGGAGGCTCAGTTGGCTGATGCTATGGAGAGCAAACTGTGCCGTTACCTGTTACCCTGCTCGTCATTGACCCCACCTTCCTCTCTGCCCACTAAGCACTTTAGCACTGCATGTTCATATGCTCCCACACCTCCTATTCTATTGATCCATGTTGGATCCCACAGGAGCACACAGAATCTCTCTCTGTGAAGGCGGTGTTTCTCACTTCGTCTGACGAACCTCTCCTCTGCCGGACCTTAAACACAGTTCAGAGTCAGATTGGGACGAAAAGTAAATCGGTCTGACCTACACGAACAACTGGCCTAAGACCACATATTCTCCCCCTAACTTCATCCTTTCTGTTTTTTATACAACCTTTTCATTGCTCTTTCTAAAGTTTCATATGATCGTCCCTCTGATTTGGAAGTCTTACACATTGGCTGAGCTGAGCGTGTCTGTTTGTGCTAAAATACCAAATGGCGTACCTTTGTCGGTACTGTACATCTGTACATTTAGTGTACTGTTAATGTGTTTTTGTTCTTTTCTGCATGTTAATTAGAGAGAGGAAGCGTCTTCTTCCTGAAAGCTGGTTTTACTGTGAGGCGGAAAAATATGTTGCATGAGTGAAAGGAGTCATTGTTGCGCTTGTATATCATTTCTGAATGCGTCCTCTGCATTAGCAATACCTTGTGCCTTTTACACGTAAGGTGTGTGGGTGTGCATGTGCCTGTTTGTCTACAAACTTGCATTTTGCAAGTACAGTTCCGGTCGCACGTTTGCATCCCATCATTATTGGCGTTAATGTCATCTTAATTTGAGGCAACTTATAATGTAGATGAACTAAGATGCAACTTGAATTCATTTTAAAAACAAGAATTTAGAGTAATTTTAGATTTTTTAATGTTTTTTTTCTAATCCACACAGGTTTAAAGTTATACATACAGGATCAAATATGAAATACAACCAGATTAACGGTTGGGAGAAATTTCTGGTCTGATTTTAGCGGAACGTTTGACCGGACGTTTTCGTAGAATTTGTAGTTTGGTTTCCTCCCATGAAACTTTGATACGGTATTCTTCGGGGACATTCCAGAAGATTAATTTTAGCGTGATTATCAACTAAAAGACTATTCCTGATGTGTCTGGGATCATTGCTCCATTGTAACCTTCAACATGTTCTCAAGGTTCACTCGTCTCACCCAAACTGTGATTGATTAAAAAGAAACATTTTAAACCTGAGAACTCTGTTCCATCTGTTAAGCTCGGTCGCAGCAGTAATAAACTGAGGATCTGTTTCACTGCCAGTCGTACTTCTGGGTTTAATAGTGAATTCTTCAACTTAACCTGAAATTAACAGCTACTGTTAAGCTCTAAAATATTCATACACCTGACAGGTTTAGATGTAAAATCATCTAATGTAACCAAGAAGGGTTAGTTGTTTCCAACAGGAAATGAGGCAGCCATCTCTCAAAAGATAGAATCAGTTTTAGCCTGTTGGTTTCTTAGCAACTGAAAAAGGGGAATTTCACTAAATATTAGCGGAGCAGAACAGTACATATTTAACCTTAGGCATGTCATTTTCAAATTCTACAATAAATTTCAACTTGTGCACCAGTTCTTGTGTTTAGTTGCAGAAACAGTTCAACACCCCGTCATTTATGCCCATCGTGATTGGATGTAAACATCTGACCGGCAACGGTGTGCGTGTGTGTATCTGTGTGTATCTGTGTGTCTGTGTGTGCTGGCTTTTAACACAACTGAGTGCAGGCTTTACCTGGAGCGTACATACAGTGGCATACAGTTCGATGGTTGCGGAACCGCTCAAAGAAACGACTTCAGAGCTGCTGAGAAGAATTAACCCATCGACGAAACCGACCCTACGGTACAGAGAGTGGTCGCTAGCTTTGAGATGCATCTGCCATGTTTCTAGAACAAGTTTGAAAGAATGTTGAGATGCTTCTACGGTGACAGCATTCACTTTTCACATGCAAACCTGTCTCCTAAGTTCTTGCAACTTCCTCGTAATTTGGAAAGCAAAACAGCGGGGAGTGGAGGGAAACCAGATCGAGCTGCATTTTTCCAGAAAAACAGCTTCACGTTTCTGATAGTGTGCCTTTGCTACTCTGGCATATTGAGTCCTCTGTTTTTTTGTTTTTTTTTTTAATTTTCCCTTATGGGGCCTTGTTTTATCATTTTGCATTTGGACTTCTTGTTTCTGCTCATTTCTGTATTCTGAGAACTGGACTTTGAGTTTGTGGGAAAAAAAAAAGAACTTTGTAACTTTGGACTCTCTTTTTGCCACACGTAATGGGTACCGAGTTTATAAAGACGCATCCGTTCCCGGTATTTTGTTTGTCCTACAGCACAGAGGAAGTGAATGCCAAAATCTGCGAGTGGGACCGACTGGATGCTAGCGTCGACACACACCTGGTTCATCTCATAGCTCACATATTACCGAACATATATCCTGTTTGTCATTGTTTGTTTAAAAAAAAAAAAAATAGGTTTGTCAATGCCAAATTCTGTCTGTGGGCACTGAAGTTTTAGAACATGGCTTTTGAATGTGTTTTCTAACTAACTTTTATTGTCTCCACTGTGGATGTTCATTTATATATGATGTGTGTTACGTGTCTTCTGTCTGTCTCCCTGCCATACAAGAGGATATATCAATGGATCGATCCATGGAGATAGAATGATGCTTTATGCTCTGCCACACATTTTAGGATTTTGTTGTTTTTTTCTTCTTTTTAGTTTTTATAATGTCCGTATAAAAAGTTTATTTTAAATCTGAAAGGGCCAAATACTAGCGATTGTTTTTCTCAACAGGGTGAGACAAAATATGTTTTCCGATTGAGGTTTAAATCTTTACCCATGGAAGTATTTATTTTGAGTGGAAGATTTAGTTGGCTTTAAGTGTTTATTCATGGCTTTTTAAAAAAATAACATCACTTTATAACTACTTTATGTGCACATAAAGTTTTAATGTTATTTTCAATTCAAATGTATAGTAGTACAGTCGACAGACTTATAAAAATCTGTTGGTGCCACATGGAAAGATATGTAAAAACCTTATAAATAAATACATCTATTATTGCAGTGGTATAATCTCACACATTTAGCTGCTACTTTTCTATCTGATTTAGTCCTATGGGCTGAAATGTTCAATGAAGTATTGATTCTATGCTTTGTGAATCACTTCAGTGTTGACCTGGCAAAATGTTGAAGATGATTTTGCCAGCTCTTTTTGTTTTTAAGTTTACTGGGACATGTCAGCAGATTTTTATTTCAAATGTCCTGGTTTTGCACAAAATCAAGGCCCACAGCATAACAGCCCCTCTAGTGGTTCCCACATATTCGTCCTTTGGTCCAAACCCAATTGAAGTATAATAGCAAGTTTTAAATCTTTATGTTTGTGATAGTTGGACATGACAAACGCATCACAATCAATTTTTTTTTCCTGGTTCATTCTTGGTTGCATTATCAGATGTAGGGAACATCTGATAATGGTGTTCACTGATTTTCTTAATTACTTCTAATGGGATTGTTTTCCTACTAATTGAATGTACATTTTAAATTGTTCTGTGTGAGATTATATACCTGCAATAAAAGCTTGTTTTAGGTGTTTCATCCATCTTTACCTGGGGCATCAATAAATCTGTCTATCTGAATGCACAGATTAACTAATCTACTGACCCGGGATTCTTTACTTTGAGATATGGGGCTTACGTTTACAGCAGTCCCCTTAAAATATGTGTTTGTCGTTTTAAATCCCTGGTTCGGCAGTTCAGAGCTGCACTTGAGCATTTATGTTTTCATGAGAACATGGGATCTATTCAATGTGAGACTCTGTAGGTGTGTGGCAGAGTCATGCTGCTTGTGGCGCCTGCCTGAAGCATCAGTGTGAGTGAGTGAGTGAGTGAAGTGGGTGCATGTGAGCCACCTGGAAGCGTTTTGAGATGTTTAAAAATTTTAGGTTTTATGGAGCTGTCGGAGATAAAAGTGAGAAGAGGGGCGGGAGGGGGGTCTTTTATGTGAAATTATTGATGAAGCTGTCTTTGTTAGTTTGGATACTTTTTATATTTAAAGGAAGTGATGCAAAAAAATAAATAAATAAAAGGCATAAAGCTAGAATGTATGTGTAGGGGAGTACTACTGTCCTGTTAGTTCATACCAATATTTTAAGTAAATAAACAGTTGTGTTTCCATATTCAGCTTACTTTTCGTTATTTGTGGCATAAGAAAATGTTATTTGTATCTTTGCTGCATTAATTCAGGAAGCAGAAAGATCTTCCTCTAGATTGTGAGACCTTGATTTCAAAATAAAACACAAAATGTACTTCCATAACAATCTTGCTTTTGTTACAGTTTTCATCTAATTTTTCTGAGAAACTAAATTGTGGACCATTTTCAGTAGCAGTCATAGAAAAATATCAATACATTTGTAAACAAAAAAAGAAGATAACATCGTGTAATTAATTAATCTATATCATACCCGAGTTTCACTTTTGTAATTAAATTTGTGAAGTTCTCAGCGCTGTTCGGATTTATTTCCTATAAAGTGGGTTTTGCGGCAGTGGATGAACAACTCTGCCCCCTTGCGTCGCTAAAGCGCAGGTGTCACTTCTTCACTCACCCGGATCTCACGAGTTTCCTGACGTGGCGGGTCGCTAAAGGTCCGTCCGCTCCTCCGTGGGCTGCTATGATTGGGCAGAGCACCTGTTTCGGAAAGTTTTTCGAAATACTGTAAATACACAGGTGGCGGCGGCATGGGTTGCCGTTTATGTAAATAAAACAGAAGTGAAACCTTGTCACTCTGCTCAGGTTTCCCAGGCGCAAACAACTCTCCGCAGCACAATGTTGAGCAGATAGAAAGGAAAGTTTGGACTTCAGAAAGAGGTAAGAGAGCTACTGTTACAGAAATAAGGTGTTACTACGTTAAAGTTTTTTTGTTTTGTTTTTTAAATAGTAATAAGTAAATGTCAGTAAAGCTTTTTCCTTATGGAGGCTAAAAAAAAAACTATATAGACTTTGGCTTCAATAGTTCCGCACTCCCCGCATGCACCTGACGCGCCTGTTTGCCTTCAGGTGCCAGCTGCGCAGCCATGCCTCAGCTCAGCCCCGCCGCCGCGCTGCAAATCGCGCTCCTGCTCTCCGCTGTGCCCGCGCAGTACTACATCTCCCGGTGGAGCGGCTCTACGGCGGCGCAGCGCTACCACGCAACCACGCGGTAATGGGGTAGCGCTATAAAAGTGCTTTAAATACTGTAATTACATTGAGATAATATAGGGCGATATTATTAAATGCTTTTCAGGTTGCTCCGCATATGGAAACAGTGGAGAACGTCATACCTTAACGCTACTGCATGGAGTGACTGGACAAACCAGCAGTTGTCCAAAGTTAAGTGAGTTGACTTTTAAGTTTTGAAATAAACTCTTTTCTTTCCATTTAGGTTTAGTAAGCAAACCCAACTCAGCTTCTTCTCGTAAACAAATATTCTGACTTCCTGCAGATCTCTGGTTGGGTTGGGACAAGAAGAGGAACAAGTGTCTCCACCAATAGAAACCATGATATTTGATAATGATCATGGATTCTTTGGAGGTTTGTGAAATTCCAGTATATGTACGTTTCTTGACTTTAGATACGGTGTCATTTCCATGCTGCTGCCAGTTTCACCCAGTGTTATTTCTGAATCTTTAGTGTTTGATCATCCTCTAATGTATTATAATCACCACTAATGACACTAGCATCTTATCTGGATATTATCTAGTAGACTTAAATAAGGCCCTGAGGCAGCTGTCTTCCCTGTGACTGATTTCCCTTTCAGTACTTGCTTTAAATACTTGCACACCTTTTGTCCCTGCAGCCTCCAAGGCAGTGCGTAGCCCTCGCCCCCCGTTTGTGTTCCTGCGGGTCGGAGAGGTGGTGTTGGAGAGGAAGGGCCACATGATCGGAGTGGTGGTGAGCTGGGACGAAGAACTCCGAGCTCCTCAGGAGTGGGTGGACAAAATGTATTCGAACTCTGAGGTTGGTGAGCAGAACTCGTTCATATCTTTAAGGTCGTTCTGCTTCAATAACTCACTAGACTGGCCACATTTCTAAGCACTCAGGGAGGATTCAGATATGGAGAAATGTTCATTTCTCTTTACACAATCTTAGACATAATCTAGGGTCCTTGGTTTGCTCTTATGCTTCATCCAGTGCGCCCTACAGGGCTTCTACAAGATTTAGGTTGGGAGACTAAGAATGCCATAGGATAAGAACTTAGCGTCTGGTGAGTCAATGTGGCAACCCATTTTCAGTTTATTGGAGAATATAGCAGATTTTTTTTCAATGTTACTCTAACAAAGAACTTGATCCTCCATATACTCACGAGTAAGGACTAGGTACTTTTTTTACACATATTTTGTTTAAGGGCTGGGCAATACAGCTGAAAAATTATTGCAATATAAGCATTTCATTATCAGTTGATCCTTTTAATTATTGGTCGTTTTTTGGTTTTAAATTATTCAAAGTACTGCCAACCTTGAGACGTGGCCTTTCCTCCTTTATGTACAATTTCCTCTAGAGCGGTTGTACTCATTTTCTCCTTTCACTCCACCCCAGTCTTTATAAGTGGTGACAGCATTGTCTGCGGATGGTCAAGATTTTATAGTCAAGCGTACTTATTACCTACATTTCTTGTAACAAACTCCTTCACCTCCCATAATCCGAATGGATGCTAGCACGTTTGAAGAGCTAGTTGGGCACCTAGCCCTGTTTAGCCTCCACCACATAACTGTCAGCTGCACAAAGAGTGGCAGTCACACAATGTGTCCTTGCAACTGGTTGCGCTGACTCTCTACATTATCAGTTCGATGTGAACATTGTTTCCTTGACAAGCAGTTTCCTGTTCAACTCAGCACATCACCGAGTACACATCCGATACCTTTGTGTGAATGTCTCCAGCAGACGTTCACTTTGAGTCCTCTTCGACTACATAGAGACCTCTGAGGAGTGAACTGTGCCAGAATACGTTAGAGGCAACATGAAACTGCTACTGTGCAAGTTACATAAGTTGTTGCTAGCTTATCAAGAGTGAGTTAGCTGATGCTACAAACATTTCTTAGCTGAGTCGGTGAGACGTTTAGCAGTAAAAGCCTTTCCTCTGCCTACATCCCCCCAGAATGCCCTGCGACTCTGGATTGGAGTTAGATGAAATTATCAAAATTCTTTCAGACAAATCTTCTATTGATATTGATCACATGTCTATCCCAACAGATATTATTTTATTGCCCAGCCCTGTTTTGTTTCACACCAAGCCAAACTGTTGATGAAAAAATTTAGCAACATCCAACCAAAGAATACAGTGACATTAAACATCCTATTGATATAGAGAAGTAGACTTCCCATGTTTGCATTTGTGATGGTAGGACAAGACTACTAAACAACCGGTTGACTTTTAGTTAACCAATAGGAAACAATTTTCATTTTATAGAGAAAACTGATTTTTTATGTAAAAATCTCCTAGTATTCCAAAGAGTTCCTGATACCATGCACTGTCAGAAGGTTCTTTTAATAAGAATATGATCTTCTACTATTCCCAATCGTGGGGATGTGATACTTTTACGTATATCCTTATTTTGTTTAATATCAGACCCATTTTGAGTGCTTGTTGATGTCAAGTCCAATTAGACTCTATAGAGACCTTGTTGATTAAAAAATGAAAAAGAAGTTGTACGTTGTTTTGTGTGAAAACAGGACACAAAGGCGGAGAAAACGCCACATTACAAGGTGCTGTTCGGCGGGCCTGGACCCTCTTCTCTGATGGTTGCATACTTGCCTCAAACACAGCTGGAGCGCATCACAGGGATGAGGGTAAGGACGTACTGCCGCAGAACTTAAGGTTTCTTTTATGCTCACACACTCCTCGCATCTTGAGCTGACGGTTGGATGTTTGTAGCCGGACATTCCCACCCTGGAGAACTACTTCACGCATTTTGACGGGACGCGCTTCGTCATGCAGGATTGGCTCAGGGAGCTGTTCCCAGAGGACGAGACCGAGGACGACTGACTGGGACGGTTTTCACGATTGCGCTCCTGAGCTTGGTCTCAGTTTGTCGTGACGTTTCTTCAAAGACATGTATTGAACTTAAACACCAACAGGTGTGTAAATCAGAGACACACACCGAATCTCTCCTCACTGGGACTCACTTTTGCCTTTTTGGAATATGGAGACAAATATTGGTATTAGAAGTAACAAATATAAGAAAGTCAAACTTCTTTTGTTTTTTTTTGTTTTTTTATATATCTATATAATTTACAGTATTTTAGCTTAAAGTGTGCAGACGATTTTAATGAAAGCCACCGGGACTGCTTCGACTTTGGCAAAGACTATGAAATTTGAACATCTGTTCAAGCGTGAAAACCGTGCAATAAAGTGTTTCTAGACTCTCCAAAATGTGTGTTTAGAGTTTTTTCCTGCTTTTGTCTTTGAAGCTGAAGGAAACAGACACTTGCGAGGTGACGGTGGCTATAGGTAGGAGAGGAGGAACGTGCGTCAAGCTGCGTTCTCCATCTGTAGCCTCCTCTTCATTCCTCCACTCCTTGGTCTCCTCCTCTCTGACCAGCAATGTGGCCCCCAAACTTTCCCCCAGCATCTCAGCGATCTGACTGGCCTTTTGTTGAGCATTTTCAACTGCTGACACAGACGCGCGAAGCCTTAAAAAAAAAAAAAGAAACACCACCCAACACAAACACACTGGTTACAACTCCTGCATTTGATTTAAATGAGACAATACCCGTTTGGAGCTGTAAGCACCTCAGCTCACTCAGGCACGCAGCGCTGTGGAAGAACCGAGGCATTCCCACTTGGACACTCTTATCCAGCTTTTCCAGTAGGATGCAACACATATGCTCCATCTTCTTGAATTCTGAAAAGGTCACCAGGATCTGGGGGAGCATTTGGCAACGCTGTCATGTCAGGCAACTCTACTCTTGCAAAACCAATTAGCTGTCCAAACACCTCACCTCTGCATCCATGGTGTAGGTCTCAGCATGTCGGCGAAGAGTCCGTCTCACTGTTGTGTCTTCCTCGCTGACGCCATGTTGTCTAAGGAGAAAGAAAGAAAACTATATTACAGACTAAATATAAGTGACCTTTTTTTGTAAATAGCAGAATGGATTCATAGCATCCTGAGCAAATAAAATTTTAGTACTGAAAGATTGTAA